TTCTCTATAAGTTAACTACTATGATGAAGTCAATTTTAGAGGCTAATTCGATGAAATTAAAGAAGAAAAAGTTAATTTGGGAATACAATAATGGCTTAGCAGCATAAAGCTCTGAACCTTTCAATGTGGTATCTACTGTACTAACATTAGGGTGCACGGCTACTATGAATATATTTATTTTTGGGGGACGGCAATAGATTTTTATATATTGAAATTTCTTGTAACTAAGAACATAAGTGAATAACATAAAGAATTTTTCCACATACAGTTATAAATACTAGGTTTTAGTGAATAATACCATAATATTCTATATAACTTTTTAGTAGATAAAAACTATTTATTCCGTTGTGATAATATTTCAATTTTAATTGATGCTATAGCTTTTTAGATAAGATATATTTTTTTTCTAAATGAATGTTAAATTTATTCACACAAAAAAAAACATTGTTTACACATAAAATTGATGAAACATAAAATATGTATATTTAACATAAAATTAATATATAAAAATGTTGAAACATATCTTTCGTCGTATATTTCTAATTGCTGAAAAATTAATATCTTTCTGTAGAAATTAATGAAACATAAAATTGCTGATTTTTTAACCAAGCCGAGTGAAGACTAACAGCTTCCAAACCACACCATAAGACTCTCGTCGTAGGCCTGGTCTCCTGCAATCCGAATAGAGGTTAGTCGATTTTGCATATCTTTGTCGATATTCCTGATAATAGCTATTGGTTGTTCACTATGCCGACGATAATTACGCTCAGAAGAAGTATCGCATTAGGAAGAGCTTAAGCTTGTCCATGCCTTGAGTCGTGGTAAGCTGATGTAGATAAGATATTTTCAAAATTGAAAAAGACAACCATTGTAATGTAATTTTATTATATAATCCTATTTCCAACGCCAAATAACAATTTATCAATGAATAATCAAGAACAAATAAAAGTTTCACAAAATAATTATCAGGATGTCTCAAACGTCCCTAGATTGATATTTCTTTCTAGATGAGTAAAAAATAATCATACTTAATGATAGATCAAATACATATCATAAGTTGTCCATGAGTACAACATAATCATACTTAATGATAGAACAAACACGTAAAATGTCGTTTGTATAATTATACATTGGAGTTTATTTACGTGGAACTATGACCCCGATTTGACGGACAAAACGTGATCAAGTATTCTTTGGCGGAGCAAGTGACTAAAGGAGGAGGTGTGTCGTACGCATAACTGTAATAAGTGGGACAAGTTTCTTTAAACAACATAGAGTAAGTATTCCTTTTGCACTTTTCCGGCGTTCCGTACGCATTCCGACAACAAAACCTGTCGTTATCAAACGCTAAGCATGCACTCTTGCATGCCACGACTCGTCCATCTTCGTTCAAAACCTATATGCATAGTGAAAAATATGAACCTTCACGTTTAATCCACGATCGCAAGAAAAATTGCCTCCTTTACATAATATGCTCATTATTTTGATGTAATGAGTCGAATTCGAAGTATCTACCCATCTACTTTGAAAATGCTATAATTTTCTGATTTGAGCATTTTTAATCCGGGTTTGAAACAAAGGTAAGTACAAAATTACCTGTAATTCGTCGGGACATGTGGTTTCGAGGTCTTTATGACAACCTAAGATGGTGCATTTGGATGATATGGGCTTGGAGTTCACTGCGACAGGGAGGTTATAACCATCGACTAGGCTTACATCATAGAAATTAGGTTTCGATTTGTCAGCTTGTACCGCAATTTGTATAAGTGTTGCCGGAGGCTTTCCGATCAACCCGTTACACTCCAAACGTCCATCACAATCACCTAAAATTCAATGTAATCCAACAACAATTACAATTTTAACCGTGCTTTTAATACAATATCGTATCCAAATCGTCAAATCATATACCGTATTAGGATAATGTCACCACGAAAATAAATATTCTCTGACCAAGCAAAATTTTGAATTTGATGACTAATAAAATACTCTTATCTCTAGAGTTGTTATCATTACTAAACCTAAAACCCTATAATGGTAATGGATAAACTCAAGATAATTTAACAAAACTGTTTTTCCAAGTGGCAATGCCAATTTAGAGAATACTTAACAAAAAGGTTCCAAAGGTGATCAAGTAGCAAGAAAATATAATGCAAGTTAGAAATGCACTATAATTAATGTCTTTGTACCATAACCATTCGAAATCAAAGTTTTGTTTTGGAATATGTCTCTATAATGTTCTCATATATTATGAAAATAATATATTATATTTGAAATTATAATTACCTGTTTCACAAGCTTGCTTCCAATTTGAAGTGAAATCACAGCCTGTTCTAGCCCATATACGACCATTCCAACCCCAAGGAACATCAATGCGTCTGGTATCCCCGCAAGACAGGTAAAATCCACCTGAGGCTAGCACCGGGTGGCCAGAGTTGGCGGCAACAGCCGGCCAAATAGGAAATGAGCATTTATTTTGCACATAAAATGTTACTCCGTGACATGTTACCTTACCTATATATTTATAGCATTGATCATAGTCATAATAAGACCAAATATACCAACAATTTGTTTAACTAAGGGAAAAAATTTACCACATACTAAACAACTCCATACAATGAAAAGTTGTAATACGGAGCTAGAGTTGAACCTCATTGGAACTTTGGTTGGAACTTGACAGTTTCACATCAAATTATATAATTTGGAGAATTTATAAGGTACACGAGATATGATATTTCCAAAAAAAAATTGTGGTGTTGTCGATCTTTAATTATGCTTTAAGATTGGATTATGGGTAGAGTTAAGGTTTGATCTTTTAAGACAAGGGAGTTGATGTCGCTTCCGATAGTATTAAAGAACTTTTGACTAGTATATGTTCCTTATAAGAAACTCAATGAAAAACGATGACAATGCAAGAGTAATTGGATTATTATAAAAGGAAGTAATTATTATTTTTTTTTTGTCAACAAGGTTTTTCATTCACTTAAACGATCGGAGTACAAAATGAGGGAATGAAACATCCAAATGAAGTAATTAATATATTATTAAATCTATAACCATACATACAAGACCCCTACGAGAAATAGG